CAGGCGCCTGGGGAGGGGGGGGGGGGGGCAGGGCGGCTCGAAAATTGCTTTTCCCAAGTCTCAGAAGGCCAGCTTTGCCCATCAATCTTTGACAACTTGAGATGTCGCACGTGCCGACTTGCAAGACAATCAGCTCCACAGTAAGTGAAGGTGGTTGTACCCCTCACTCATACTTCTATTGCGAAACGGTTGCTGGAGAAGGCCAAGACGGCCCTGTCTTAGTTTGGTGGTATGTTGGTATGGCTCGTAGGCACATTTGCTTTAGATGCGCGTTTCCCCCCTGGCCCGCCTGCTGCCCTGGCAGGACTTGAGGAGCAGCTGGCGGATCGAGATCAGGATCTGGTTGGAGGAAAGTGGGCAAGGAGCAGTTTCCGGGCTGTTTTCTTCAAGCACTTTGCTTGCTGTTGCTGGCTGTTTTCACACACACACACGTTTCTCATGTGAGATATGTGTTCTTAACCGAGCATAGGCGCTCACAGTCACATGGAGAGTTTTTTTGGAATGCCCCAACTCCCCCCAACTTACCGACGCCCCCTTCGGTAAATTAGGGCTTTTGTATTAATTTTGCCCCTTCGGAACATTCTGCCACTGTCTAGTTTGCAGAGTCAAGCAGCCCCTGCAGGACCTCGATGCTGGCAGCGCTGCTCTGGCGCGTTTGGCTGAGTCTTCTGGGATTCTTCAATGTCGTGTTGCTCCTGCCGTGCCCCCTCACGTGACCTAAGCAGCTTATTGTGGAGACCATGAGGTCTACTTATTGTCTAGGCCTTCAGTCAGGCCTTAAACGGCCAGGCGGAGCGAGCAGTTGACTTTGCCAAGGGGCAAAAAATCAACGTCTTGCTGGGCGCACTGTGCGGTTGCAAGCGTGCTAAGTTCAACTGACGGTTGTGCTTGAAGTTGCTTGTGGTTCAACACTAAGGGGCGAACGTAAGTCGCCAACATGAACACCTTTGCTTAAATGCGGCCTGCAGGATGTAGCAAGTTGGTTGTGTCATTGCCGCATTGGCACCAGGGCGGGTTGGTCGGCTTGAAGTTGGTTTGCTGCACACTGCTCAAAAAATGGGCGGCCCACGCAGCATTGCAGTCGATTCGCTGCCATGAGCGGCTGGGGCTGGTCATCTTGGTCTAGGTGGTGGCGCGGCTGGGACGGCGACGGGTGGCAGTGGCAGGATGAAGGAGCAGGCAGGCGCGGACGCTGGCAGAATGAAGGTGACGAGGCAGACGAGTCCCGCCGCAAGGCGGCCAGACGAGTTCCGGAGCAAGGCGCGTGGCAGCAAGACTTTCCTGACGACGAGTTTGTCTACGGCTGCGTCCCGCTTGCGCTCACAGACCTTCCTCCGGGCCAGCATTACCAAGAGGTGCGAACCCAAATTGAGGACCTGGGCTGCATGATAAAGGTGAAGAAAAAGAAACAGCCGCACCTCTCCAGAGTCACGGTGAAAGGGCAGCACGCAAGGGATGCTTGGAAGCTCTTCTGCGACTATGTGGCGCATCTTCTGCCAGGTCTGGAGTGGCGGCAGCTTCGACCACCGAGGATGAAGCTACCCACTGAAGCCGCAGCAGGCGACAACGCCAAGGACGAAGACGAGGAGGGCGAGGACAAGCAAGGTAATGCGGGGGAGGCAGACCTTCTCAGTGCGCCTTGGCGGTATTATTCCACTTTCGCTTTTGGCGTTTCTTTTTTTAAAATCATTGTTAGTGCAGTTTCATGAGCCACGCACGAGAGCTGCTCAGAATTGATTAAATTTTGCCCCGCCGCCGAGGAAGCAGATTGGGATCCGGATGAGGATAACGATGGCCCGGCGCATGCAGCTGCCAGTGCTGACGCAGGCCCCATGACAGTGCAAACGCCCGCAGAGCAAGTGCCAACTGAGCCAGCGCCAACTGGGCAAGGTCCCGGAAAGCCAGCAGAGCCTGCGTCAGCAGCGCAGTCCAGCAGCCACCAAGGTCCGAGTTACGAGGCCACAGCGCCCCTGAGGACACAGGAGGTGCCGTTGGTGAAGCTTACCAGGGACGACTGCGGCAACATCCGCGTTGAAGCAGACGGCCAAGCCCGTGTGATACGCTCGCCCGGCGGTCCACCAACAAGGCCGGCGCCAAAGCCGCCCACAAAGCCAGCGGCGCCTGAGCAGCAGCCAGCCCCGGCTCCGCCACCACCTCCGCCACCGCCTCCGGCAAGCGCGCCGCCGTTCAGACAGGCCGCAGAGACGAGCATGCGTTCGCAGCCGCTGCTTGTGGTTCCAGCCAGGCCAGCCTGGGAGCTGGCGCAGCGGTGCGCCCAGGAGGCCATGACTCAGCATGGCCTGAGTCCCGAGCCAGAGAGGGTGATCAAAGGTCGCCTTTGGCGACGGCCTGAAGAGCATGTTTTGGCGGCAAAGATCTCCTTCTGCACGGCTTGCCTTAACCGAGGCTGGCAGCTCCGAAATGCACTGGCCATCAACTTGGCCATGTGTTTGGAGCATCTGGGGCACAGTGTGCGGTTTTGCGTTGCCCTCTTCGACTCTGGCGCTGGTGGTGGTACCCCAGCGGAGGAAGCTGACTTTGGGGACACTGTCAGATTTCTCAAGCAGCATTTCAGTGAGCACTTGAGAAATGGAAGTCTGGTTGTGAGTGCTGCCGGAAAACAATTTTTCCATTCATCCCAGTGCAAGAATGCTGCTCACAAACTGGCGCTGGTCACACCCTGGGAAACTGGGGCAGAGGCTGTGGACGGGTGGCTGCCAAAAATACGGGCCACCCAACCACCGCGTGCCCCTGGAAACAACAGAGCCCACCTCCTTGTGAACTTGGACGCAGACAACATTTTGAGCGCGGACTTCTGCAAGCAGCTTCTCTCGCGCGGGTGCGGGGTTGGGGCGCTGCTGCAAAACAACAGCATTTGGGGCTTCAGATGCGTTGGGGGCTCTGACTCGGGCTGCACTGGGCGCGTGGGGTGCCCCGACCACGCCTATGTGGCCCTTGGGGGCTACGATGAAGCCTTCCACCCGACGGGGTACCAGGACATTGATTTCTTCGAGAGGTTGAAGGCAGCAGGAACTGCCCGGGAGAACGTTAGGCTGCTGCGCTTCCATTGTGGCTGGAGCATTCCCAATTCAACCGTTGCCAAGCGCGCCAAGAACGAGGCCAAGACAAGGTGGACCGGGTCGGCGACAAAGTGGGCAACCCAAAACTCTGAAAACCGGCAGGCTTCGCTAGCGGCCCTGAGTCAAGGGAGGTGGTGGAGAAACGCGCCAGGTGGTGAGAAGCCGCGGGGCGACAGTGCTTGCTGGCAGGTTATTGAAGGCATCGGCAACACAGACCCCGCTGATCGTGGCATGGTGCCAGTCAGGCTTGCCGCAGTGCCCCTGGGAGCCGGTGGTGGTACCCCGGCCCCAGCTGTGGCAGGCCCGCCTCCGATGCCAAGTGGCGTATCCAACGCTGGGCACGGGGGAGTTCCAGCCAGCGTGCCGGACGGCTTTCTCCCAGAATGCCAGCTTCGCATTATCACATGCGGGACAAGCAACTTGAGCAGCGTTTTGCCTGCTTTGTTGAAAGAGCGAGTCAGGGACCCGGCCGTCGTCACGGCCATGCAAACTCTCAAATCAGACAGTGCCCGGCACGCGGATATCTCAGAAGAAGCTTTGATGGTCTGTTTGCGTGCGGTTCCTGGGCTCATGGCCTTCGACGGCCCGGTCATGTTTCTCGACTTGAGAGGCGCTCATGACCCAGAGGGGGACCCACGCCTGAGGGACCACATTGGCCTTCACCCGCAGATCCTGCTCGGCGTGTCCAAGCACCCGGTCTTTGCTGATTCTTTGCGGAGGGTGCGGCGAGTGGTCTTGGCCAGGTTTGTGAACGAACCCATGGCCAGGCCGCACATCACTGTCGTGGCGTACTGCCGCGGAGGCAACCACAGGTCAGTGGCATTTGGTCACTTGCTGTGGCATGTGACCAGTGACACTGCCAGGCAGTTCATACGATGTGCGCGGTTCGATGTTTTAAACTTGACAGAAGGGGCGGGACTGTGGGCTACGCCTCGGCGCTGCGGGCCGTGTGCCAGCTGCAAGCACGTCAACCTCCCCTCCCGGTCCCAGTTGCAGCAGAGCTTGCAGATGGCTTACCAAAATGCTGTCTCCGTGTGGGCGACGCAGCTGTAATTCAACAATTGAAGCTGGTTGCACGCGCGGCGTGGTAGTACCCGTTTGCGCAAAATTTGCCGCAGTCTGCAGGAGCAGAGCCGTTTCACAAACCGACGCAGGCGCTGTCGCGACAAAAAGGGGGCTTGCTGGCGTTTGCGAATTTTCTCACGGCCACTTCATTGAGGCAGGCAGGTTACGGCAGGTTTTCGCAGTCTGTCAGTTTCTCGATATTGACTCCAGGTTGCACTGCAGCAGTTGTTTAATTCAAATAAGACCATTCATTTATTTAGTTCTGTCCACAACATTGATATAATATGTCAGACATGTTGCCTCAGCAGAAGACATGGAAAGACCAGACACCGAGTCAAACGTTTCATGGTTTGGATTTCCCCGCTGCTCTAAGGACTCGTTTCATGGTTTGGATTTCCACGCTGCTCTGCCTCACAGGCTCAGCAATGACAATGGCAACATGCAAGCGACATAATGTCATCAAAGCAGCTGAATCACAACGCGCCACACCGCAACACAATGCAGCGCAATCAGTGCAGCGCAACGCAGCTACGTGATCTCAGGGTTAGTAGAGTTGTTGCTCTGAGCTTCAGGATGTTTTTTTCCGAGTGACCCGCGGCCATGGAGGATCTTGCCGCGGTGCGCCCAGACCACCTTAGACCTCACGCGCGCCGGCGCAGCAGGAAGAAGTGCGGCAGGTGCACTTGGGCGCGCAAAGGCGGCGCTCTCCGAAGTGAGTGCCTCATTGAAGGCACTGAGAGGCAGACTTGGCTGGCTTGTGTTTCCGTTCTTCCTGATGCCTCGGACCTCGCCAACAAGGCTCTTCGCCGAGTGCTTCGGCTGGGGTGCGTTGTGTGCCACGCCTACCGGCGGAACATGGTGCAGAACACTGAGAATGGCGACGGCTCAGGCTTGGATAAGGGCAGGAGCGCGGTCGATCAGAATGTGTTCGGGCGCTTCGCGCAGCCACTGTCGTTGCTATTCCGGCGGGGGGCGCTCTGGTCGTGCCGCAAGCACTCCAAGACCAGGATTCATCAAGAAGCCCTTCAAGCGTGGCATGACAAAAGCAAATCAGCCTGCTTGGCCCCGCCTAGGAAGGATTTTGAGAAGGCTTTGGAAGGCCTGCGCAAGGGCCGCAGCGCGCGCGATGGCGGAGGAAGCAGCGACCAGGCAACCTTAACTCGCTGGTGCTTGACAGAAGCGTGCCTGCAAGAAGCCCGGTCTGCCTTGCGCACTTGCAAGTCTTTGGTCATCATCCGAGATGAGCGCGCGGGGAAGCTGATGCTGCGCTTTCGCGCCACCCTTCGGGACATGTCAGTTCTGACAGGTGTTTTGGGCTTGCAAGATCTTTCCTGTGGGAAAAAGGCTGCTGACATTGTGGACGCCACAGCACGCGCTCTTCAGACCTTTGCAACCGAGCAGTTCCAACCACCTCGGGGCTTCCGCGGACGTGGTGGTACCCGTCTGGACGAAAACTTGCTTGCGACCGTTAAGGACCGCTGCGACATGGTGGTCACGGACTGCGCCCCTAGTGAAATTCTGGCGCAGCAGTTGGGCAGGGGCCTGCGCAGCGCTGAGGCAGAGGAGCTGCTGTTTCCCAACGCCAAGATTGTTGGACGGGATCGCGCTCACGCGTGTCAGCGAGTGCTTTCCCATCCGTGGGGCGCATGCAGGGCAGTGCAATCCTTGCTGGAGGACTGATCAAATCTCGGCCTTGCCTTTTATTAAGGCTTTTAGTTAATTGCGCAGTGAAAGATTTTTCCATCAAAGCGCGGAATGCCATTTTCGGTTCCCATTAGCCCAAAGAATTCACGTCAAGGCCACTCGTTTTTGAAATGTTCCCACAGGGCCTTTCGCCGCCAAGCTGACAGGAGACCGTGCTGGGCAAAAACAGCGTGTGCCAGAAAATCGACCGCAGCCACACCTTCTCTTCCTGGTTTGCGGACGCAGTGGCGCAAAGTGAGCTGAGCCGCGGCAAGACGTTGAGCGCTGCAAAACACAGATTTTGTTCCTACAGCAAACCCTTGGGCCGCATTGTTCTCCACTTGGATAGCATGATCGCAGTCCTGAACCGCGTAGCCTCATCTTGCGGAGATGACGCGCGGTGGGCCCCGGAGTGGATGGCGTCCATCAACCCTGAGCGCGCCATCCTTCTTGGCATGTGTGCCGACTTAGCAGATTCCTGCATGCAGCTCACAAGGTATTTTGACGATGAATCCTTGGACATTGCCCGCATCAACGAGGAGGTGAGTCTCTTTTGCGGACGCATGGAGGCCTGGCGGTAGCTTGCCGACGCGCTTGTCGGTGTTTCAGTTTCCACTGATGGGGCATGCCTGTGGCGTTCTGTTGTGGTCATGTCGTTTGGCTTCAGTAGTTAGCATCTGTGTCGTTCACCTTTTTAATTCGTTCTTGACTGCGGCCAGGCTCTCTTCAGCGAAGGGCAGTGCTTTCACGTGCACGGCTTCACCAAGCACTGCCTGGACATCTTGCAGCAGAACAGGCTGGTAATGTTCTTTGACGGTCGCGCGCGGGCTTTGGGCGGATCGGCGGACGGCTTGGCGGCTGCGAAGCGGGCAGCGCTGCGGAAGATGCAGGCTTGCGTGGAGCTTTGCAAAGAGGCGGTGCGTGCAGAGTTTCCAAGCTTTCATGCCATCATGGCGTTTAAGGTGTTCAGCGTCTCCGAAGGGGCCGCAACCAGCCATTCAGTTTCTGCCAATTTGACGAAGCTCGCGAAGCTATTCAAAGTAGACCCAGTGGCTCTGGAGGAGGAGTTTTAGATGGTTTTTCCAGTTGCAGCAGTGCAGCAGCAGGCCACGGGCTGCAGCAACCGACAGGCATGGCAATATGCTTTCCGGCGTGCCGCTGCATCAGCAACCACACACTGGCGCACGGAAAGCCTTCAGCCAGCGCCATGGCCAAATTTACACGCCGCGTTAATAATTAAATAATTATGAACATAATTTCTGGCGTGCGTGATCTCAGGCGCGGATGCGACTTCTGTAGTCTAAGATGTGTGTGTGTGTGTGTGTGTGTGCGCTTGTGCGTGGCCCGGGTGCATGGGTGCGTGGGTGTCGCGTGCGTGCCTGCCTGCGTGCACGCACGCGCGCATGTGTGTGTGTGTGTGTGTCTGTGTGTGTGTGCGCGCGCGTGCTGGCGTGACGTGTCTGTGTGGTGTCTCTCTGTCTTTGCGCGCAGGGGGGTGCTTTGTCTCTTCCTGAGGTACTTTCAGCGTACTTATGCTGGACGACATCTTCATCTGGCGTCGAGCAGACGTTCTCCAAGGTGGAGCGATGCCACTTACACCGTGGCAACGGTCAAAATGATGCCTTCCGAAGAGCAGTCGTGGGCTTGACGTCGGCTGACCCAGACAGCAAAGTTGTTCATGGCGATGAGGCCGTGATCTCGTCTGCGCGGGCGCTGTTCAGTGCTGGAAGGTCTCGGCAGACAAGAAACAACGCTGCTGGGCGCAAGCAGCGGCTCGACAAAGGCACAGGGAAGTTCAAAGTCAAGGCGTCCGCAGCGGCAACCCCCCGTGGTGGTACCCGGCGCGGAGTGCCGCAAACAGAAGCTGCCTGGCTCAGGCGGCGCCGAGCAGAGCTTGACGCAGTCATCAGCACGCCGCAGCCCAAGTCGCAATCGCAGAATCAGAGCAACGCCGAGTGGACTCCTGACATGGAGAAAGAAAAGAAACGCCTAGGCAAAGTCTCTGAACAACTTCGAGTTGAGGCGCATGGCGACGGCTATTTGTTGGACGAAGAGAAGCCTTCTGAGCAAAACGTCGTGGCCCAAGCAAGGCGCGACGCCACGAACGATCGGAAGCGAAAGCGGGAGGAGACCAACAGGGCAAACCTGTGGCACATGGCGCAAGAAAAGAAAGACTTTGCTTTCTTCAGCGGCCTTGTTACGGGCGCAGATGTTTGGATCCCGCAGCCGACCTTGCAGGAGCGCCACAAACTCATCAGCTGGGGAGCACATCGCGTTAGCAGCGAACTAGAGGGCTGCAGCGTCTTCGTTGTCAACCATGAGGACCCTGAGCCACGTGCTCGCTGGCACGCCCTGCTCAAGGGCAAGACACTTCTGAGCCGAGCAGTCTTTCTTGCGGAGCGGGGTCAGGCCCGCACATTCTGCGTTTCATATGTGCCGGCTGAGAAGAGAACCACGGCGTTGCATGTCACACAATCGTTTGCCAAGAGAAGCCCTCAAGTGGCTAGTTTTCTGGGGGAGGTTTGCGAGTCACCTGGCACCAAGTGGCTGCAGTGCGCTGACAAGAATGCAGCTCAAGTCGTTTTGTGCCAGCTTGTCGAGGTGAGTGGGTTGAAGAAGACAGGCCGCCGACATGTGTGCACAGCTGAAGGTCTAATGGCCAAATTAGGGCGCGCTTGCATTGTTACGAGCAAGTCAGGCCACAGCTAGGAATGGGGTGATTCCAAGGTGTGCGGCTCAAAGCCTGGCATCATTGGCGCTTGTGCGTGCGTGGCCCGTTTAGGGGCCCGGGGGTTGCAGCCAGGGGGCCTAAGCGGGGCCGGCTGCTGGGGAGCGCGCCAACACGGAGGAAGAAAATATATTTCAGCTGGCCAAGGTCAAGTGAACATGACATGGGTCTGCGTCGATGTGCAAGTGTGCATCGCGGCGGGCCATACCGTGTGACTTAACATACGCGCGCGCTACACAGGCACGCGTCGCACTGCCGTTGAGCTCACGCGTTCGTTTATATTTATCGCTAACTACATAGGTATTTCGCAGTGGGCTCGTCCAGGCGCGCTGGTGTTGAGTAGTTGCATTTTTCCGGTTTGGTTATTTGACAATCTTGGCTTGGGCGTTCGCTCTTTTCACACGATTAAAGCTGATCTGACTGAACTGCTGGCAAGCGCGTTCTGCGTTGCTTAGTCGTGTGTGCGGCTGTGTGTGTGTGTGGGACTGTGCGTGTGTGTGAGCTAGCTGACGTTATTTTCGGTTGCGCGTTTTGATTTCCCGCAACCCCCTTACGCGCCGCCAGCCCAAGCCGGCCGCGCGTAAGGCGACGTTATTTGGTTGCGCATTTTGCTGTCTCGCAGCCCCCTTACGCACCGCCAGCCCGGGCCGGCCGCGCGTAAGGCGACGTTATTCGGTTGCGCATTTTGCCGTCTCGCACCCCTCTTACGCACTGCCAGCCCGGGCCGGGCCCGCGTAAACGCGAAGTTGGGCGCGTAACAGGGGTCAGGGGTCCGCACTCCCCTTACGCACTGCCAGCCCGGGCCGGGCCCGCGTAAGAGGGGTGTGAAAACGCGTAAGGGGAGTGCGAACGCTGCTCGCGCTACAGCGGTGGTTGTTTTCGCACTCCTCTTACGCATCGCCAGCCCGGGCCGGGTCCGCGTAAGAGGTATGAGGGGTCCGCACTCCCGTTCCGCACTGCACGCTGCGTGGCGCCAGTTTCGGGAGGCTTCCCGCACAAGAGCGTGAGCTGTTTTCGCACTCCCCTTACGCAGCGCCAGCCCAGACCGGCCACGCGTAAGCCGACGTTATTCTGTTGCCCGGTTTGTGGTTTCGTGGCCCCCTTACGCATCGGTGGAAGCACGAAAGCTTCGGACAGTTTAGTTTATTGATTTAATTGGACAAAATTATTGGTCGTCAGAAAAAAATTCGGATCCAGCTTGCAGTCGTTGACGACAATGTAGCTTGACTGTGGGCTCAGGCTAGTGCCGGCCATGGGCAAACCTCTGCAGAAGAAGAGGCCCAAGGTCAGCGCAACTTTGAAGCGTGCAGCTGCGACAAAACTCGCTCGGAAGAAGCCTCCGAGCAAAGGCGCTCATGCTCACGCCCTAGAGACAGAATTTGTGAGCTTGAGGCGTCTCGCGGAAGAAAAAACCAAGCAGCGCGTGGTTGTACCCGCGCTGCAGGGCACATTGACGGTCACCAGCGACTGCGCCGGCATGGGGTCGGACTTGCTGGCGTTCAAGATGTGCGGCCTTTTGCCCAGGATCAAAACAGCAACGTGGTCGGAATTCGACGCTGGCAAGAGAAAGCTTTACCGAGCAGTTTGTAGAGAGCTCGGCCACATTGTGGCGCCTGTGTCAAAAGATATCACCAGACGAACACATAGTGCTGCCCCCGGCTGCGATATTTATATTGCAGGTTACCCCTGTCCTTCTTTTAGTGCGCTTGGGAAGCGCAAGGGCACGGGCGACAGCAGGGGGCTGATTGGGCTGCACGGGCTGCGCTACATATGTGAGCACAGACCACGGGTCTGTGTCCTGGAGAATGTGAAGGGATTGCTGCACGAGAAGCACCAGGAGTTCACAAGACTCTTCAAAGATATTTTCAGGACACTGCAGTACAAAACGTACGCTAAAGTCTTGAACTCAAAGGACTATGCCATTCCGCAATCTCGGCCACGGGTCTACATTGTCGCAGTGCTAAGCTCAGCAATGCAGTCGAAGTTTCGTTGGCCCAAGCCGATCCAGCATTCAAAGCGATCCTTGTCCAAATTCCTGGATGTGTCGGAAGAGGGCTCGGAGATCGCAGATGTATCCACGTACGAGCAAAAGCATGGCGAAGAGATTTGGGTAAAGCCCTACATCCTGGACGTCGCCAGCAGCCCGAAGTTTCGGTCTGCTCAGCCTTGTGTCTGCCCATGCCTCACGCGCTCGCGCCTGAAGGTGCACCCATCGGGCTACTACTTGCCGAAGCTGAGACGGCGCCTCTCTGCCCGGGAGGCCGGCCGGCTGCAAGGCTGGCCCCCCAAGTTGCTCGACAAATTGCTGACGCGGTTTGAGCCTCAGCAAGTCGGCGGCGCGCTTGGGGATGGTATGTCCATCAACGTTTTGAGCAAGGTGTTGCTGGCAGCCTTAGTTGCGATTGGAGAGCTTTCGGCAGAGGAGGGACGCGCGCGAGATCTGTGGAGCACAGACAATCCCATGCTGTCCGCTGCCGCTGCTGACAAGGCAATGCAGTCCACACAGGACGTTTGAAGAAATTGGCTGGGCGGCGCCCGTGGTGGTACCCGGTCATGGAAAGACTGCAGAAATTGACACTCCAGCTCTTGCGTTGCCGCGTTGGAAAAAAGAGCTGCGCAATGGTGAGAGGGCTAACGTTGCATTGATAATTGTGTTGCTTGCTTGTGGCACATCGCACGCGCTTTGCTGCATGTTCTGCGTAACTAACCTGCCAATGGCTCGAAGTAAGTTTTCTTAGTCTGGCTGTTTTGATGGCGGCAAAAGCTAAGACCCAGCCATTGCCAACGGGAGTGCCGGCAAATTGGTCCGCCTGGCGCCTGTCTTCTGCCGAGCAGGCCAAAACCCCTTCAAGTTAATCAATGGTTTTTATCGTAAAGTTTTTTTTTGGGCTAGAAGTTGTCCCGCCCCGGCCCAGCAACGATTCAGGCGACGGTGGCGGCTGACGTGCAACGCTTCCAGGCCGAGTTGGAAAATTCGAGCCCTCCCCTGTCGGACGAGGGCAAGCAGGCAGGCCTGCGAGTTTTTTTTACAGATTTTGGCGTTGTCGCCATGTAGCAAGGGCTTAAGTGCAGTCGTGATAGTGCAATTGTTTGTTGGAAGTTCCAGCGCATGCCCGCGCCAAGGCGGCTATCTCGAATTTCAAGGCAGAGAAGCTGAAGCAAGCCAAGCAAGAGAAGGCCAAGGCGTCAGCCGCCGCTAAGGCTTCAGCCGCAATGCCTGCGCGCCGGCAGCCTGGGCCGACTCCTCCTGCCAAGAAGCTGAAGACCACGAACGCGGCGCTTCCTGCGGACGAGGAGGTAAACCTGGCCTATTACCACGCCGTGCAAGAAGATTGCCATAAGATCCTGACGCACCTGGGCGAGGATTTCCCCTGCCAGCCAGCTGTGGCCATTGCTAAAGCGAATGAGGAGTCGGAAGGGGGCATCCAGGACTCCCTGCGCAAAAACATTATTGTTACGGGCAATTCAGTGTAACGTTTTTTGTTTTCATGTATAGTATTTGTGTTTCGCACATGCGGCAGGAGCCTTACAGTTCTGATGCTGCATCGAGGGCGTTGGGCAACCAAGGGGCTTACGTTGCCGCGGTGAACATGTTCTGGATGGACTTCTTGAAAAGCCCAACCCCAGGGGTTCCGCTCCGTCGGAAGTCTGTCGAGGATCTTGCGGACTACATCTGGCCTCAGGGGGCGTTGCCGTCTTTTTTGCTGAAGCTCTTGGAAGTCCAAGCTCCAGCGAGCACGACGGTTGCAGAGGTGCCGCAAGGGTTGCAAATGCTCTCACCCGAAGGCTATGCTCACGCTGCGCTTTGCGCATGTGCGCGCGACTTGCCCCAGCACAAGGAGCAGTGGGCAAGGATTTTGAGATCCGTCCCTTGCGCCTTTGTGGTTGTACCCAGTGGCGGCAGGGACGTGTGGATTCATGCCTGGAACAAGAGGAATGCCATTACTCAAGACTATGAATCCTTATCCCGCACGGCTCTGCAGCAAGCGATTGAGATTGCAACCTTGAAGTCTCGCTTCGAGGCTGACGAGGGGCGCCCTTTGAACAACGGTGACTTCTTTCAGTTGCTGACGGCTCAAGGTTTGAAGAAAGCTTCCAGCCAGGACGACCTTAGCCCGAACCTCATCGCCAATGCCATTCAGGTGTATGAAAAAATCCGGGGGCCTGAGATGCTGGAGCCGCTGGCGGACCTCGAGACGAGGTACGGCTCCAAGTCGTGCTTGAATGAGATGTGCAACTTGCACGCTCTGGCCCAGAAGCCGAAGCCCGAGGCGCGCGTCTTCGTTTTGCAAGGCATCCACGACCTGGTGGTGAGGGGTCTGGTCAACAATGAGGACATCACCAAGACAAGTTTGCGCGGGGACAAGAGCAATGCTGGATGGATCGCCCTTTTGGAGCTCAAGCGCAACTGCTTGCAGCATTGGCTGACCATCGAGCTTCCCAAAGCCAAGGTTGCCGACAAGGACCGCATGCTTTTGAAGGAGAAGCTTGCCTCCCACAAGGCGTATCGCGAAAACCTTTGCGGGGAAGATGTCTCTTGGCAAGGAGGGTTGGCACGTTCCTCGCTGGAAGCGCTGCAGCTCCTGGAGGCCCTTCTTTTTCGTTCGTTTACTGGTGACATGTTGTTCTAACTTCTAACCACTTTGCGTGGCCGCAAACTCTTGGGGGCATGTTGTCTTCAAACCCTGACATGTCCTGCCCCTGACAGAAGCTGGTCTTCAACAAGCACTACGACAATGGCCTGAAAGGCATGGCCCGCGCCCACAAGAATGCCGAGGAGGTGACGGAGCACGACTCCATTCGCGAGGATTGGTCCAAGGTTGTGTCTATGCGGGAGAACGAGCTGATGGAGGAGGCCGTCAAAGACAAGATGGACCAGGAAGCCCCGGAAGAAGAGCCGACAGTTCTGGCCTCCATGCGGAAGCCGCCCACGGCTTTTTCCGAGCACTCGCTCGGTTACTGGACTTCCTTGGCCAACACTTCTGTGCGAAGGCACGTGTCCTTCGTGGTGGTACCCGGGACGCAGGGCCAAATGCAGCGGCTGGTGGCCCAAAGCTCGCTGAAAGACCTGGAGCGGGAGGAAGGGAAGAAGAGCCTTGGTAAAGTTTACACCTTTTTTGCGTGATTTTCACCATATTCGGCTGCGTAACTTCTAACATTTGAAAATCAAAGCTTGCGCACTTGCACCCGAGCGCCGCAGGTTGGTCATGGTTTGGCTGGACACGGACTTGATGGGCGAGGCCCCGGGCCCCAAAGCTCAGCCTGGGCTGCGCCGCTCTCTCCCGCTGGAAGCCAATGGGGAACTGCGTAGCATTGTGCACGGGACAATGCAAGCCCGGGGCGCGCAGCTGAAGACCGCAGAAGGAGAAACAACATGCCCTGCCCCAGGCGAATTGATCTGCGTCCACGATGGCGGCCGCAAGATCATGCCCGAGGTGCGCAAGCTTTTCCGCGCCATGACATCCAAAGGTGACATCTTGGACTGTAATGAAAAGCAGGCCTCCATCGTCTTCAATGAAGAAACCATTCGAGTGCGGAAGCAGCGCATCAAGAGCTCTGAGGCCTACACGTGCCAAACCTCAATGAGCATGTTCACCCGGAGCATACTGGTTCCGACCATGATCCCAGAGAAGCGCCGCGCGCACTACCAGGGCTACAACACAGGCGATGTCATTGGCTGGGTGGACGCCGTGCCTGCCAATGCTTTGTGGGAAGCGCCTCGGCCTGTGAAGGAAAAAGTCCTGGGCAAGAAGACGCTGACACTGACCGCCGCCGAGGAAGGCAGCAGCTTTGCTAAAAAACGTATTTTGCTTCACTTCCAGCGTGGGTTTCCGTAGGTATCGTTCTGAGTTTTTACGCGGCCTAGGCCTGAGCAAGGATCAGAAGCAGCTGCGGGCAGCAGAGGGCCGCCTCGAAACGGTCTTCAGCGGCACGCGCTTGCCGCAGCAGTTCCACAGTGAGCTGCTGGCGTCGCTGTGCTGCCAAGGCGTTGTAGATCTCACACCAGGGCAAGGGTTCCTGGAGCAGGCGTGCTTGGATGCGCGCGTGCCAGTTCTGGCGGTGTGCCTGAGCGAAGCGCACGCGGAGGCGCTGGAAGAGCGCCTGACGAAGTATTGCTTGTCCAAGTTTGTGGAGCAAGGACACACCCTTTACCGAGAGGGGGCCAACAAGTTCTTGAAGCCAGACGGCTCCATAAAAGAGGACAAAGGCGACGATGAGCCCGAGGAGGTGCCAAAACCTAAGCCAAAGGCAAAGCCAAAGGCATCCAAGAAGAAGAAGCGAGTTGATGACGACAACTCTGGCGACGATGAGGAGCCTGAAGATGACACTGAGGCAGGCGACACTAAGAAGCCCCCGCCGAAGAAAAAGAAGAGCAAGAAGGAAGACGCTGAGGCATCCTCTGGCTCGGAAGAGCTTTGGTGATCGAATCGGCTGCCGCCGAGATCAAGCAGTCGTGGTGGCACCCGCTGCCCGGGAGCTCTCTGGCAAAGGCGGCTTGAGAGTCTAGGCCCGCGTTCTGGGCAATTTTGGTAGTCATTTAGGAAATATTTGGCAGAAGCACGACAAAAGGCAGCACGCAAATGCCTCCAAGCACGTGAAAGCGCAGGCGCCAGGCAGGCCAGAGGTGACACATACGCCGCCTTGAGTGATGAGCTGTTTGCTTGGCTTGCTTCCACGGTCTGATGTTTATTTTTCTTATGCATGTTGCCCACAACATTTGAAAAGTGCAACATGCCTGTTTTGTGAGCCATGGCTGCTATAGTGTCTGCAGCTGTTCCCCACTCACAGCCAACATAGGGTAAGGCACACGCTCTGCGCCTGCATGGCGGTCAACGCGCAGACGCTCGCCCCCGCGACCGTGATCGTCTTGCTGACGCACGTGCCCTTCGCCAACAATATCGAGGTGCACGTTCCGACCTGGGCCACACTTGACTACATCAAGGAGATTGTCACCGAATACATCACGACACGTGCGTTGGAGCTGGCAGTTGGCGGCGGGCACTTCCGAGGACACTTCATTCCAAAAAGAGACTGGGGGTTCTGGAGCAGGACGCGGTCTGCGCCATATAACATGCCAGTGCTGAGCCTGAAGGCCGAGGATCAGCCGCTCCGCTTTTGCTGGCATGACTGGAGCCCGTCGTTCCAGAGACTGCGTGGCTGGGAGCTCATCGCGCCCTTCATGCCCAAGGATGAGGAAGCCAGCGCGCCAACCGTCCTCGGGCTGGAGGACAGGCCTTGAGCTGTGGTGGTACCCAGCCAGGCTCGCCGGAGGCTGGAGGAGAGGCCTTGCGGAGTGAGCTGTGGTGGTACCCAGCGGCTGGGGAAGCGCCGAAAGAGGCGGTGTTTTTATTTTTGAGCTGGCAGGGCCCAGCTAGGCGCTAGGCACTCAGCCGCAGCTTGAGCCAAAACAGCGCGTGGGAGGCGCAATTGCCTTGAATGTTTCTGGACTAAATTCTGTTCTATACGCACGAGCACGCACACAAACATATCCCTCTCCATTTCTCGTGTATTAGGAATATATTACATCAATTATACTTCTCATAAAACATGACGTGTTGCTGCGTTGAAAGCATGGACATGCAAACGAGCGCGCGCTATATATGCCAAACATGTGCGTTTAAATATCTAGAATTCTCTGCAAGCACCGCGCATTTTGTCCATGTATATTCACATCATGTTTTAGATCATATAAAAATGTAGGTTGTTTTATTGCAAAGCCAAATTAATATATGATAATGCCAGCGCAGCGCAGCGCTCCAAGCGCAGAGCAAACCTTGTTTGCCTCAGTTTGCTTTCCGGGGGCCAACTTGCAAGGGGCATTTCGCCAACAAACCGGTCAGCCCCACTTCCAAGAACGACCAAGCCCTGCGTGCCGGGGGCAAAGCGCCGCAAACTTGCAAGGAGCATAGGCCACAAACTTGCAAGGGGCATTTCGCCAACGAACCGGTCAGCCCCACTTCCAAGAACGACAAAGGCTTGCGTGCCGGGGGCAAAGCGCCGCAAACTTGCAAGGGGCATAGGCCACAAACTTGCAAGGGGCACCTCGCCAGCATGCCGACAAGAATGCTATTTGTTATTTGTTTGTTTGAGGCTGTTTGGCACAAACCTGTTTGGAAAGAAGCCCTCACAATATCATTAGGATTTGTTTATTAATATAATATGGATATGTCTTTTCGCTAAAGCCAGCGTCGTCCGTGGTTTCTTCTCCTGCACGAGCATGTGAGACAAGTCATATGCCGCTGCTCTCAGCAGCTGCTTTCAGCTTCTCTTTGCGCTTGGCCCTGCGGAATGCCTCAGAACAAGCCAACATAATCATGGCCATGCCACGACACACTCTGTCACTTTACATGGCATGACATGCGACATAATCAACAGCTGAGCTCCCGGCATTACGACTGCAGTACTGATGTTTGCCTGTGGATGGCTGCGACAGCGCCGATGGCGGCAGTGTTGCGGCGCCGTCCTGCGCTGCGGGCTCCTGGAGCCGCGCTGGTGGCAATGGAGCCGATCTCTGCGAAGGACTTGGGCCTGAGGGGTGCTCTTGAGATGTTGGAGGCGGGGCTGCCAGGCAACCCCCTTTTGGACTTGGGGGTACCACCACGCCAGGCCCAATGTTTAGGTCCGGGGGTGCCGCCACGCCATTCTTGTTGTTCATTTCGTCAGCTTTTCGTTTCCCGAAGGGGCTCGGAGCAGCTCCAAATTCCAGCGCCGCCCTTACTTCGTCTTCATCTGCGTGGCAGTAATGCTTCCTGAACACTCGCGCATCCGAGCGCTGCTGAATTTCCAAAATGACATGCTCACATGGCCTTTCTGCCGGGGAAGCGCCTTTTTTGAAAAGTAGCAAGGCAGCGCTTGTGTGTCGAGTTGCGCCATGCACTGTCACCCTGTTTCCTTGGCACCGCGCAGATGGGTTCCAGCGACGGCTGTTTGTCAACTTGTGCATGACTTCCCGAATGCGCGAAAGGGCTGAGGAAACTGTTTGCCTCGACATGTTGGGCCGGCAGCCCTTTCTTTTCGTTATAGCCGGAAAGAGAAAATTGTTGCCCCCAGTTTCAGGAATGGTAAAAGTTGTTTTCCTGAGCGGCTTTAGCTTGAAGACCGCTTCGTGTGACTGCCTGCAGGCTTCCAAAACTGGAAGAACACCCCACTCCAAACCCTCTGATCGCAACTTCTGCATGCCTTCAATGGCTTCAGTTGAAAGTCGAGCTACCACCCTCTCTGCGCCCAACTTGCCGTTGCCTTTATACGCTTTGTCTTCCGCCCGCTGCTGGAAAAGCACATGTGGCTCGTCGTGGTCTTCCCCGCCCAACAAACGGAGATCCGAAGTTCTAAGAAGCAGCGTTTCACTGATCCTTCGGGAGGTGACAAGAGCAATCCACAGTACTGCGCAGTACACAGGGCCAGCAAAGCACAAAGCGACTGCGAAGAACAGGTCTAGCTGGTCTCGGGGCACAAACACATGTTGCTTGCTTGTTTTGCTATGTTGCTTCCCTTTGTTCCAGGGAGCGCGGGTACAACCACGGCGCCCCGCTGCTTCTGTTCCCCTTGCAGGGCGTTTTTTGGCTACAAAACGAGATGCCCGGGCCATAATTTGGGAAAACCAGCCGCTGGAGGCACGCCGCTCGGACCGAGAAATGCAGCAAGAATGCACCAACCTTCGAACTTACCAATAGCTTTTGCGAGCTGACCGATGGAGCTCCCCGAATTTACCGAGGGGGGCGTCGGTAAGTTGGGGGGAGTTGGGGCATTCCAAAAAAACTCTCCATGTGACTGTGAGCGCCTATGCTCGGTTAAGAACACATATCTCACATGAGAAACGTGTGTGTGTGTGAAAACAGCCAGCAACAGCAAGCAAAGTGCTTGAAGAAAACAGCCCGGAAACTGCTCCTTGCCCACTTTCCTCCAACCAGATCCTGATCTCGATCCGCCAGCTGCTCCTCAAGTCCTGCCAGGGCAGCAGGCGGGCCAGGGGGGAAACGCGCATCTAAAGCAAATGTGCCTACGAGCCATACCAACATACCACCAAACTAAGACAGGGCCGTCTTGGCCTTCTCCAGCAACCGTTTCGCAATAGAAGTATGAGTGAGGGGTACAACCACCTTCACTTACTGTGGAGCTGATTGTCTTGCAAGTCGGCACGTGCGACATCTCAAGTTGTCAAAGATTGATGGGCAAAGCTGGCCTTCTGAGACTTGGGAAAAGCAATTTTCGAGCCGCCCTGCCCCCCCCCCCCCCTCCCCAGGCGCCTGCAGAGTGGTTGTACCCTGCTGCCCCTGCCCTGCGCGCACTCCCAGCCTTGGGCAAGCCTCTTGGCCTGCAGTAATTCCCAATTCCTTGCTGCAGCACGGCTTTTGGAAGCGAGCGGCGCCTGTAAATTGCCACGCCAGCCCAACATGACACAAGCAAATGCAAGAATTTGCAAGATTCTCGCTCCCAACTCAGGCCGTTATTAATTTCAACAGGTTCTCGATCTGAACTTGGGTGAGGGGTACAACCACCTTCACCAAACACTGAGGGTCTTGCAACTTCGGCGGCCTCCGGCTAACAACCGCCACACATTCACTTATGCAAGCTTAAAGGGGAGTCTTCCCCGAAAGCCGAGGCATCAATCATGGTCCGTATTCGCACTTTGCACTGTTTGCTGCGCAGGCCAGCCTTGTTGAGCAAAACCAAAGACTCAGCCGATGGAGAAACATCTTTATCCTCCGATGCAAACCCCGCCTGTTTCCCGCAATGGTGCCTGGACCTTAAAAAAAACTTAGCATCCGACATGCGCTGAAGTGCCCACCACCTTGCTGAAAAGGCCTTCTGGAGGACTACCCAGACAACCCATATAACATCGGCAAGCTGAAGTCGGACGCCACAGGAAAACCATGTCGTTGAACTTGCACTTGCTCGCTTTTTTCGGGCGACCAGATCTGCGTAACCGGATCAATGCCGATGATGCCTTCGCCAAGGTCGGCGTGCACAGCCCATTGGGCCCCATCTCCGGAACTTGCCCCAGATATGGGGCCTTTAACAACTTCTCTTGGATGTGTGCTTCCCACTCCTTTTCCAGCCTCTCATGCAGCGACGAAAGATGCTCAGCCGTGGCACGCTGCAGCGTTGCTTCTGCCGCCGCTTGCGCTCCTGGCTCCAAGCTTGCGACCGCCACCAAAGGCTGGATGTGCGCCAGCCGTGTGGACTTCGCTGCAAACTCCCGAATTGCCTGTAAGCCGTGTTCACGACACCATGCAGCGCGCAGATCCTGCAAGTGCTTCTCAGACGGGGCAAAGTTGGGCTCCATCAAGCCGATCACTTGCTCCTGGAAAGCAGCTCGAATCGCCTGCTCAAGTGCCTCAAGCTGCTCCGCAGGCCCCGCTTCGTATTCGCGCAAGACGTCCGCCGCTGCAAGCTGTGAGTGCTCTGGCCAGGTACTCAAGCACAACGTGTCACGCAGCCGACTCGGCGCCTCCTTTACTTGCTCAGGTGGCTGTTTGGCCTCGACCTCCGTTATGGCCTCCGCCTCTTTCCCAACTTCCCCATCATCGGTCCCTGGCGGTGAGCTGCCTACTGTCTTCTCCTGTGGCTCGTCTTCATCGCTCACCTCCTCCACCTTGCGCTCCTCTGCCATGCCGCCTGCCGCCCGATCGACGTGAAAGAGCTGCGAGCTGGGCTGCGGCTTGACCAGGCTGCTGAGCCGAACGCAGGGCCGGATTGCCGCAGCGCGTGCTTAACAGAAGCTACCTAACAGCTCACAGCGACTGCGACTAGCACACGCGCACAGGCAAGATGCTTGCTGCTCTCCTCTTATATTTGACACCCCGCCTCCCACCCAAGACCACCCCTTGACAGATACACCCTGTCGTAGACCGTAGCATGCGAAAAGTGTAGCCGGGCTGCGCCGCGGCACGTCGCACCCGCGCTTGCGCTTCTCACTTTGGGCACCCACTCACTGAAGCTAGCCCAGTTTTTGCGCTGCGGCAGTCGTGGGCTCGCCTTCAACCGCATCTTCGAGACTACTTAGTACTTCCTAACCGCTGCGTAACAGCTGCAGCACACCAAAACATGGTTTGCGATCGAGCACGCCGTGCCGTGCTAGCTTCAAATGGCGTACGCAAATCTACCCTCTGATAAGCTCCATCACACACCGCAGAGAACCGCAAGCTTGTATATTCAACTGAGCGCTCAACTGGGGAAGCCTGAAGCGACCAAGTGCCAGAGGCAGTCCAGATGCACGCACACGCGCACACACACACA